ACCAGAGAATATTTGTTAAAATAAATATTTTTAATAGTCTTTTGTAAGTGAATAGTGAAAGCAGTGATTCTCTCTTTTCTTCAAAATCAACACTTTTAAGACTAATTTCATCGTCAGAAATGTTTTTTCTGTTTATGATCGCAATTTTTTTGAGTATCCTTTGAGCCCTTTCGTGCTTTCCTTTCGATATCAACCAACGAATCGATTCCGGAATAAAGCTATTAATTATGAACAATATTTCGATTAATATTATTAAGTCGATAGCCATTGGCTTCAATAGTCGCTTACAAACAAATCACTGGTACTATGAAGAGTGGCGCCGATGTTATAACACTCAATATTCTCCAGTTATGGATATAGTATGCAATCCACGGAAGAATGGCAGCGGTTATTGAATAACTGAATAGAAATAGTGTTGATATAATCATACGGCCGTCAATTCCGACGAATTCCATCACTAATACCACTGCAAACATGCCCTGAGATAACACTACAAAACCCATGAGTGCTCTCGAGATCAATAGGATTACGAAATTATGGGCAAAGAATACTGTAGTCGTGCCGGCGATCGCTCCTATCAGATGGCAGACACCTATTGCCGGCACTTTTCCGTATCTAATTGTATTCGAGTTAAATGATTGCATTTATTTACAATAGACATTCATTATAGTCTAACCTATCGGCAATTGCGCCAATCACATAAACCCCCACCAATGACCCTGTCCAATATATTTTGTAAGCAAAATATACTTTCCAATTTTGTTCGCAAACCCAGTTATTCTGTAATTTATATAAATGTAAGTGTGACTTTTTTTTATGCATAGTACTTTTTTGCTTACTTCAGAGACAATAGTTGGATAGATATGCGAATAGTTATACTGATGGCCATAAATACAATTGGTTTTATTGCCCAAAGTGTCAATTATTTCGCACTGTTTTACGATCTTTTTGTCGGACGCGTCAAACCATACGATGTCATTATAGACGTACACTTGTTCTGTGGGATGAGTGCAGCTATGGTTGGGCTCCACAAACAGCAAGAATTGTGTTATATCGTTGAAAGCAAAGAAGGGTGCGATCAATAGGCATAGAAATAGGCCCAGAATTTTCTGATATAAGCCAAAAGAGCCCACTTTTTCAATCACTTCTTCGCAATCCATTTCTGGTGTCAATAAATGATTGTTTAAAATCTCTATTTAATAGCGTATGGAATGGAAAACAATGAGTTCTTTAGAGACTATTTTTACGGTTGAGAGGACATTGATATTTGCAAAATCACATCATTTAATCATTAAATTCTAATTATTAAACATGCAATTTATTTGCCTTAATCTGACAATAAACGTAAAGTTTGTATAATATGTTTAAATTTTGAATGATATAAATTTTGTGGAAAAATCTTATTTATATATACTTTTATAAGAATTGAAAGATAAAACAAAATTTAATTTATTCAGTTATCCAAATAAAATGCAAATACTATGAATGCACACCTGTTTGTACTGAGGAACAATAATGGTCAATTGACAATGTAGGATGTTAAATTATATATAATAATTACACCTCTCACTTTTATTTATTTATTGTAATATAACACATAAATATTGGATAATTTTGTTTAATACAAATAAATAATTAAATATAATGAAAATGCACTCATATCTGAGTTATATTCCGTAAATATTGGCTAAAATAAATGTTATGCCAATTAAAAGAATACAATAGACTATTGAATAGAGTGCACTTTTATGCACAATATAATTTTCAATTATCACATACATAATGCATCAAGATTCAATTTGTGATATTCTATTTACAAATGACACTAGTTATTTTTTGCATAATATATATTATACTGTATATTATTAGAAATCTATATTCATAAGGCTGTAATTTTTAAAGTTATCTATATTCTCTAATATAATTTTAACAAATATGATTTAATATTATTTAATAAATGTATATGAGTTACATGTATACAAAAGATTTAAGAATTGGGTACGAGAGCACTGTTTGTGTGATTAAAATACTTAAAAATTAATTAATTGTAATGACAATTGAAAAATTAATGCTAACTTTGTACTCAATTTGTACTTTTGTTTGACTGGAATAATCCAAAACAATTACGTTTCCTACATAATTGCATAACAAGATAATTATAGACTATATAATCAAATTCCCTCATACTTTTCAAATGCAGCAATAATTTTATTTTAAACGGTAATATTGGTGTAATCGATAGGCTTAGTCATTAGGTAAATTTAGTGAACATATTTTTATGAATTTAATTTTATAACTTGAGTTAACGTTTCATTGAAATTGTGTGATTACTTTTAATACAATAATTTTTTAAAGTATATGACAGTTTGTCTCATAAGTCAGACAGAATTGTTTTTTAAAAAATGAGACCAAAATATTTGATACAAATTTGTCTAATTTTGAAATTAAAAACTTTTTTCAAAGATATGTTTGAAATAATTATTCGGTTATTGGTATTCACTTGGTATTAATCATGCTAGCTTTATAGAACTCGCCTAGGAATGTTTACTTAAATTACAAAATTAAATTCGTAAAAATTTACCCAAAGACTAACATTCATCAGGTATCCTAATATAAACCACGGTCGTAATGGGTGATCATGCCTATTTTACAAACAATATTTATGATATTGTATGTTATTTTTTAGTTTCTTTTTAAATATATTCACACATATTGTAATCTTACTTTTTATTTAATTGCTTCTTTAATCACATTTATTTGATTTAAAAATATACATGCATTTATATAAATTATATATAATATTGTATAATATATTGTATATATTGTATAATATTGTATAATATTAAATCAACCTAGTAGTTATATACAGTACAGTAGTTCATATTGTGCTAGTGTACTTAAATATGCCCAAAGGTATGTTTTACGTGCAGTAAATTTAACAAGATACATGTACTTTTAAGTAAATACAATAATATGGAATTTTATATTGTTTAAACAAACGCAAATCAAACTTATTTTGGGTACAATTCCTAAAATAAATAATTTAATAACTCATAAAACTTAAATTAAAAGCAAAGTATAGACAATGAATATTAATAAAGGTGTGTTTAAACGAATTTGCATAGCAATGCTCACAGCGTTTACTTTGAAGTTTAAACTACCGGTAATTCATTTCTAATTTATTTCCTATTTGTCTTTACAGTGACTGTCATTCAAAAATGTTTGACATTTATTACCATTGGTTTTGTGCCAAATCTGATAGTAATTAAAATTCGTGATCATTAGTCCATACAATGCTTGCAAAATAAGGCCGTTTTGAGAAAAATGATTGCCTTTTTATACTGCTTTGAGATTTAGTGGAAATTTCAATGAACTTATTTTGTAGCGAATAATAATCATTATTGGAAAAAAACTAATTTATTTCAAATAAAAATAAATAATTTTCTCATAGAAATTGCGTTCTTTAGCCAAACATTACATTTTAGTGTAATATTTAAATGCCGTCTAAATTGAATTAATTTAAA